AAATCATTCCATTATCAATAAGACTCAGAGCCTGAATATTTACTTTTCCTTTGAAGAGTCTCAGACAAAGATTTTCCACATTCAGCGTTGATTTTATTATTTGGCAAAGTTAGCACTTTTTAAAAAAATCTCTAATCCAATGTGATACTTTTAGAAATCCATCTTTAATATCTTAAGGAACTAGAGATAGGAAAATATTTATATAGGAAGATAGTTGTGGTAGTGTTTCTGATACTAAAAATTGTAATCGACAATAAAATTTCAAATCATTGTATATCCACTTTCCAAAACTGTTAAAACTTTGTCTATTAAAACTGTATCACTGGGTATGGCAGTGCATGCGTGTAATCTAAACATTGGGGAGACCAGGGCAGTAATTACAGGACCTGACCCAAGTTCCAGGCCAGTCTGGGCTATGTAGTGAATCCAAGGCCAGGCTGAACTACAATGCGAGATTCTGTCTTGAAAAATAAGCAAACAAAAACTATATTATCCAAAAATTGTCATGGAACTTTTTTCATGATAAGATATGCAAATGATAATGATATAAAACAACATAAAAGTTATTTCAAACTTACAAAGATACACATGTATGTATCTTACAAGTACTATGTACATGCGTATCGGTGTCTGTGGATAGTACGATAACGATGCTCTGTACTTACTCTTTTTTTAATTATTTATGTGTGTGTGTGTGTGTGTGTGTGGCCAGCTCAGCCCACCAGGGGGCGGGCTGGCTGGCATGTGGTGCTGGGGGATTGAACCGCGGTCCCTGTGCTTTGCTAAGCTTGTTCTAAGTAGGTGCTTTAGACCACTGAGCCATCTCACCAGCCCCTCTGTACTTACTCTTGAAGCTTCTCTAAATTTTCCAAAATTTCTATAATGATTATATATTATTCATCAACAGAATACACCCAATTGCATTCAAAATTTTGAAACATTTTACTTTAAAAAATACAGATTAATATGATCTTGAGGTGACAGTGAAACCACTTGCAAAAAAAGGATTATAGAGGGCTGGCAAGATGGCTCAGTGGTCTAAAGCATCTACTTAGAACAAGCTTAGCAAAGCACAGGGACCGCGGTTCAATCCCCCAGCACCACATGCCAGCCAGCCCGCCCCCTGGTGGGCTGAGCTGGCCACACACACACACACACACACACACACTAAATAAATAAATGTTTAAAAAAAAAGAACTTCTAAAAAAATAAAAAAGGATTATATTTTAATTGCATCCCTTAAGTCCATATGAACTGAGTAAGGTTATCTGGCTCTTAGCTAGGATGTGGCCATTAGGACATGGGACCTGGGACCTACGGTCAGAGCGTGAAAGGGGTGCAGGTCTGACAGCTTTGGCTCATGACCTTGGACGAAGCCCTTGGTAGTCTTTGTCATCCCGTTTTTCTCCTACCAGAGAGCAACTCTTCCTCTACCACTTTCACAGAGTTGCTCCGAAATCCACATGAGGCGATCCAGGCAGGATGCTTTGAATACGGATCTTTATGAAGACAGCAAAGGTCACTCAAAAGTGAGTCGTGCCAGCCTGACAGTCGGTGGATACGACCTCCTAAACTCCCTCCTGCTCAGAGAATACGCACTCCTTTGGTTCGAAAGGAAAGCTCTTCTCAGCTTCTCCATAGAGGCTTTCTTACTGAATTCACAAGTGCACAGCTCAGGCTGAGCAGACAGCTCAGCAGTCTAAGCACCTGCCTGGCTAGCGCAAGGACCTGGGCTTGACCCAGGTACCACATGCTGTGCCAGTTTGTGCCAGCCACCAAAACCCGGCATGGGATTACGCCTGTAATCCCAGTGCTGGGGAGGCTGAGACAGGAGGATCACCACAAGTCTGAGCTGTGCAGCAAGACCCTGTACCAAATAAATAAAAGTGCGCAGGCCTAGTGGGTGGGAGATACAAATAGGTCAAAGCACATCCCTGTGTCTATCTCTAAACTCTTTTGATCTTAGCCAAAAGGCCAAGAAGTGATCTATCTCTAAATTCTTTTTTTGTTTTGTGGTACCAGAGATTGAATTTAGGACCTTGTTCTTTCCAGGCAAGTGCTTATTCCACTGAGCTATCTCCTTGGCCCCTGTGATCTCTAAATTATAAAGGAGAATACTTGGCTTTTTCTGCCCCTGAGAGGAAGTGGCAGAATCCCCGATGTTCCCATAGAACCAGGGTAGATGACAAATTCCATGTGACTTCTCTATAAGCATAGAATATCTTTCAGCAAGTTTGCTGAGCCCAAACTTGGTAACCCCTCCGTAACACTACTGTTGTGAAGATAGCTGTAACACTCAACTAAGAATTATGGCAGCCTCTTGCTATCTATAACTATGGGAGGCAAGAGATCCACAGTTCCTCCATGTCCCACAACAATCAGACTGCAATGAGCAGAGGCGCCGTAGGAAAAGGAGGATATTGTGACTGCCCTGAAGCTTGCGACATGCACTTGCACTGTGGCTGTGTTACCCAGCGAGCTCAGCCATGCGCCACTCCAGGTACAGAATTTAACCAGAGGCTTCAGGGCGATTCCTTGGTGTCAGTATTTCTGAAGCTCCCTGGGTTGTCACATGCACAGCCAAGACTGAGCAGCACTGGCTCAGGACTCGCACACAGCGAGGCATCTCTTCCCACCTGCCCCCCGCCACTGCCCAGGGAAGGCTCGTCCCCTCTCTGCTGTGTGTTCCCTACACACTTTTTACCTAACATGGACCCAGCTCAGCCTTCCATCGGCTCCTCTGCTGCCCTCTCCATTTTCCTACATACCCAAAATGGGCTCCGTCTTAGCCCACCTCACTGTTTCGAATCAGGTAACTTGGGCCCTCAGATGCTGCCTTGTATGCTAGTAACAATGGGAATTTAATGTAATGTGATCCCTCTTTGTTCAGCAAATATTTGTTCAGCATCCACTCTGGGGCAGGCACTGTGCTAGACATGAGCAGTGAACAAACAGGCAAAATTCCAGCAGAAATTCTTTCTTTTACTTCTTTGACATGCATGGCCAGATTATGCCCATTAGTATCTATTTCCCACTTCATCTTTCATCTGACTTACCCTAAAGAACACTAGCAATGAAAGCTATTTCTTCTGAAATCTCTAGTCCGACATAGGAGTTTGTAAGTCTTTGAGCATGGAGGTGCTTCTACATACCAGTTTATCCCTTATTGAAGTCTGTTCATCTATGATGCTGCCTATGCAGTATGAAAGGAAAATCTGGAGCCTACAGGAGTCTGGAGTTAGCTTATCTTGGAGTAAAGCTGAGCATCCTATTGTTTTCCAGAAGCATAAGGCAGGAGGAAATAGCTTAACCAAAGTTGCAGCAAAAGTCATAAACCCTTAATTTTGTTTTAATTACTATAGGGTCTAATATGCCTCCAGTTCATTAATATTGGCTTTTCAGAGTCTAGTGAATTGCTAGAGTAAAAAGCTGTGACATTAGAGGACAAAGTTGGGGCCTGCCCCTTAAGCTCAGTTCTTTAAGTGGCTGCTTCAACAAAGCAGTCAGGCTCAGGTTGCTGTAGTTCGATCCCCACAACTCAAGCCAACCAAACCTGCCCTGAAGGCATGCGGAGTAAAAAAATAAAAAAATAAAAAATCATTAGAGGACAAAGTGATTAGGAGAGACTCCAACGTCACTCCAGGGATGGCTGTTTGGTTCGTCTTCTCATCCCCATTTCTGTGGAAAAAATTGGAGTCAGTATAAAAGTAGAGATAACAGCAGCACTCACTCTTATGTCCTCTCGTGTGTCAAAGATTAACAACTGATGCCTACTTCTTGTCTTGAGCCCTGTCATCCTCCTCCTCTTATTATCCTGAGGCAATCCCAGATATCAAATAATATTCATAAGTGTTAGAAAGTGGGATTGCCTAGTTTTAATCCCCTTAGTTATCGAGCTCAAAGATGAAGTCACTTAGCAAGTTAGTGAAATTATTTTTAATCCTTAAATGCTAAAAGTAAAAATTACAAGCTTTTAGTGACAATTATCATTTTGGGGGGTCGGGGAGATGGCTCAGTAAAATAAGTGCTACCCTGGCAAGCACAAGGGTCTGAGTTCAATCTCCGGTTCCGGGAAGAAAAAAAAAATGTGGTGTCTACTATTATCATTTAATACACAATTCTATTATTTGATTTTAGCAGTATTTCTTCAAGCCTTTCATTCAGAAAACCAGAAAATTCCCCTAAGACTTTAACAGGGTGTAGGAACAATTGACTGATGTCTTTTCATCAGAAATTTCAAAACAGATCCCTGTGGATTCTGAAATTGTGAGTAAATGCATCCAGGTGAACGTGTTTCTTTCAGCTATCTACTAATAAGCAGCCTAAGATTCCCCCTGAGCCTCAGTTCCATCTTCACGTTGTCCATGTTCAAGACAGGCTCGGTGAACTATCTGAGATAATCCAGCACAACTGGGCACGCAGCTGAGTTTCTGTACATTTCTTAAGATCAAAATCCCAAAGCAATATTTGATTAATCCACCAGAATGTTCCAGAGAGTTCCAAGGCGAGCAGAAACGTTTGTTAGTGGCTCTGTTGGGGAAACACACCAGGGTTGGGTTGGGTGTGTCTGCTGTCGGGCCTGCTTTGCTGCGTCTCGGAAGGCAGGCGGCAGCCATCCCAGGGAGGAATGGGGCGCGAGGCAGCGTCAGTGTTTGCTGAGAAAGTGATTAGGAGCAAGAGAAGCTGCAGAGAGGGTCTGCAGGACAGCGCTGCAAAGACAGGCTTGCCCATAATTCTCCGGGTACGGCCCCAACTTGTTTCTCTGAAAGATAACAGCAGCAAAGACTGACAATCTGTCATTGTGAGAATTTTCACTGTGTACTTTTTCTGGGCAGGTTATTCACATCAAACTCCTTTGATGTGATCAGTGATGATGCCTTTATTGGTCTTCCACACCTGGAGTATCTGTAAGTAAAATGAGATTTTTTACATGATGCTTCGGGACAGGTACTCTCAGGTTCCCGGCGGCTGTCTCACCAAAGTATTATGACCTATTGCAGATTCATAGAAAACAACCACATCAAGTCCATCTCAAGACACACTTTCCGGGGACTAAAGTCTTTAATTCACCTGTAAGTATGAAACCTGGTACTACCTCTTCAGGGTGCCGGCGGACGATGCGAGTGAGTGTGTGTGCTTGAAGCGCCCGTTTTAGGAGCGCCCGTGAAAATGTAAGCGCCCCGATGATTTCTCTTCATGCACTCGCCTTTGCGCTCTGCCATCTGTCAGCATGTGTTCAGAAAATTGATTACTGTTACTATTTTTAGCCTAAACCATCCATAATTAGAAAAGCAATCTAATGCAGAGAAATGGCGTGCCTGAAATAACTATTTTATTACCTACATCGTTCCTTACTTCATGGGTGATTATGGCTTGGCTATGTACTTTAATTTAACATTAGCTTTCTTCTGGATAGGCCTTGACTTTATATACATTTAAACCTGACATAGCCATAAGCAATGTCTACCTAGTCCCTGAACAATTTATTTTTTGGTGAAATATTGAATTATTCAGCGGATGACCAGAGCTACAGTAGCCATTTTTAACAGCGGGGAGATTCTGTCTCCCAGCTCATGCTTAGCAATATCCAGGGACATACTGGCTTGTCCCAACGTGGGGACATAACTGGCATCTCAGAAGTGGAGGGCAGCGCTGATGTCGAGTACTCAGCAGTGCACGCGACGGTGTCTCACAGCCAGAATCACCTCGCCTAAAACGTCATACGGGGAAGGCTGAGAACTGAACAATGAGAACTACACAACTTGCTTCTTTTAGCTCCTTCCCCCGCTATAGCCACACACCACACACACATGCACACACACACACAATTTAAGGAAACTAGAAAAGACACTCACCTCTATTGTGTTGACCCTTATGCTTTCCATCAGTTTTCACTCAGTCATCTCAGTACTTCTGCCAAGTAGAGCCAACAACCTCCATGATGTTAGAGACGTGAAAGAAGAATCTAGAAAGGGACGTATAACTAATGACCTGCTCAGTTACAGAGCTGTAAAGATACTGACTCAATACTCGACTACCCTGCTTATCACTGTTTCTCAAGTGTGGGATATCGATCTCATTATTGTTAGATAAAGATGTGGGGCGTCTAACTGTCATAAGCACTCTGTCAACCCTAGTCTGCACCATCACTGTCCTTGTTGCCAGTGCACCTGGACACAGCAAAGAGGAAAGCAGGCAGCGCCGCCTGCCCTTGAGCCCACGTCGTGCTGTGTCTGCGCTGTCACCCCGCTGCCTTACAGGCTCCCTTCTCTTCTGCTGCTTGGTGTACAGCATAGAGAGGGAGCTGATGGCCACATTCATCTTTCAAGGCTGTGTAGAATAGCAGCCACACACAGCATTTGCAATGTTGCCTTTATATGGATGATAGAACACGCTGCAAAGGTGGCTGCGTAACAGAATAGATGTAGCACAGTTTTATCACAGAGCCCAGTACTACCCAGCTTCATTTTTCAGGCAACAATTTTTTTAAAAAGATAAAATGGAAACAAAGCTTTGTAAATGAGGAGAAGAAAAGTTGAAGAAAGGGGAGGGGATTGGGGAAAAACAGGAACTAAGATATATCGTAGATGGATACAGTTTCCCTATGATAAATGTGATCGCTACGTATATCTAAATTATACCAATAAACTTAAGTATAAAAAATAAAATATTAAAGAAACAAATATATGGATGAAGAAATGGAAATTCATGAGCTCAGGTTGAAATCCACTTGAGTCACATAAATGCCATTCAACATAGCCTCTGTCCAATGCTCAGCATCACGGGGAATTGCAAAATGGTACAAGGCCCAGTGTCCATCAACCTAGGATCTCTGGGGTCTCTGCTATGGGACTATCATGTCCATTTTGTACAGGTCCTCTCCAATTCAGCATAGCAGCTTGGAACTTCTCTGCACAGCATGGGAAGTTCTATATTCTTTCTATAGTCTTCCTAACCCACCAGGAAGAAAGGGAGAATATAGGTAGGCAGGGAGCAGAAGAAAGAAAAAATCTGTCTAACACCATGAGGAAGAACACTGGTTTTATTTAACAATACTACAATCATCATATACAATGGAATTTAAATTTGGTTCAAAATGAAACCCATGGGCTGGGGAGATGGCTCAGTGGAATAAGCACTTCCCTGGCAAGCGCAAGGGCCTGAGTTCAATCCCCAGTTCCGCAAAAAAAAAAAAAAAAATGAAACCCCTTCTATAGTGGTACAGAGTCTATAAGAAGAAAAAAATGGCTTGGCATGTGCTTATTATTTAGAGACTTCTAAGCTCAAGGGAAAACAATGAGTTATGAAGAAAAGTGTGAAGATAAAGGAAAAGGAAAGTGTCACCTGCCTAAGCCAGGGCTGGAGGTGGAGAGGAATTGTGGGGAAACATTCACTGAATATAAATAAGATCCTTCGGTCTCCTTTATTATGGCCTGCCCCAGATGAGGTTGATTCATAAGAGACTATTTTGATCTACAAAAATGGTAGTGGCATATGGCTTGTTCTACATAGTCTTTAGGATGAGGTTTTCGGTTTACAAAGAGTAGGATCGGTAAAGATGATAAATCTAGGCCTGTCCTAAAGGATCTCACTCTAGCTCAGTGGTCACAAACACATGGCACATGTGTTGTGTTGTTTTTCTTTTAAGACAAAAGATGTTGATTGATTGTTCTATTCTCTTGGGGGCAATGGTCCATACAGTTAAGGGATGTGGGGAGAAAGGACAGCTGGCAGGGGCCAGGGAAGCAAGGACCAAGGCAAGCAGAATCCAGGTGAATGAACAAAACCACAGCTAGCGGTGGGGAAAGGAAGCAAGCGCTGGGGCGAGTAGCCTGAAAGACACCAAAATCCATGGGAGCAGGTGGAGAGCAGCAGCGTGAACGAGGTCCTCAGGCTTCATCTGCGCACGCCCTGTCCCTTCAGAGTGAGCCTCAGAGGAGCTGAACACGTACATTCTTCAGCAGCTCTGAGGCTGGATGTCTGAACCTTGTAGCGTAGGAAATGTGTAACTGGGTTGTAGGTGTGTGCAGGAATGTCTACAGATGTAGCTGGCCTTTTGACTGGTTACAAGTTATATGTAGTTTTTATTTAACCTTTTTTTGAACTACCTCTCATAAATTCAAGCCCACTGTACTGTCACTGCCAGTAATTAACGGTAGGCCATATCTGGAATAACCTTTTTACCACAGGACCCTATGAACTTCTTTTCAGTATGGGTAGGGAATGGGAGGTCAGGGCCAGTACCACAGACACTGGCGCCTGAGTTGGCTGCAGGGATATGTCCGGGGGACAGCTTGGAGCCTGAAGAACAAACAATGGGGCAGGTCTGGTTCTGATCTTCTGGGAATACTGCATTTTTAGTCAGCTCAATCCCTTGAAGGAGCGCCGGCTTCTGGCCCAGAGTATTTTGCATCATTGGTGGCAGGTTTCCAAACAGCAGCAGGAAGCAGTTGGCTGTGCAGGTCACCCCTGCAGTAGAGCTTTGGTCAAGATGGTTCTGCCCAAGGTGACCAGAGCATTTCTAGCCTGTCAGACTTTATTCCTCACAGAGCTACTTCCATCCATAAACAGGGTTTACTCTGCATCTGACAGGGGTCCCATTCATCCCGGTACAGCATGTGGTACCTGGACAGTTAGGTCTCAGCCTAAGGTGAGTTTGTCAGCTTTCTTGGCCAGGACAGGGGCTGTTATAGCACCAAAGCAAAGGGGGAAAGCGGCCCCTAGAGGCTGTCAGATGCTCCCATGAACTTCCAGACTGAGTAAGCATATGAAGCCAGCCCCTCCAAGAAAATTACAGGGTTTCTTTCTTGTGACATTGCTGTCACATAGTGAATCAATTTTGTAGGCAATGTGCACAGAGGGCAATCCCTGCAACGTTGGCAGCCTGGCGAGCTTCGGCTGGCTTTACAGGCAGGACAGGTGTGCTGTTTGTTGCAGGTGTGTGCTTCCTTGGCACAGAGCTTGATTACCAAGGGGCAAGACTGACAGCAAGCCCTAGGGGTGGGCTTTGTCCACTCTTATGGAAACAAATCTCTCAGAATTCCAGGATTATGAACATCAGGCACTTCAGGCCAGTGTAGGCGCTATTCTTCCTCCCAGAGTAGAGGCAGAGTTAATGTCAAGTGTGGGCAGTGGATTTGAGTGTGAGAGAGGCTGGTCACGTCCCAGGAGGGGTGTAGGACACTCAAGCACGTACAGGAATAAAACGTCCATCAATCTGCAGGATCTGCTTTGGAAGAATTTCTTTTCAGAGGGGGCTCCAGTGGGTAACTTCAGGAACTTTAGACGTGTTTATGGGCCTCTTGCCTCCCTCTCTGAGGTCTGCTAGGAGAGCAGTGGGCACTGAGCTAAGGTTCATGACCCTCTGTCCCACTGTGGACATGCTCAGGAGGAGGACTATGCTCACCCAAGTATCAACTGCAGTGGCAGGGACTCTACTTTAACCAGGCGTGGGCCCCGTCTAAAATATGACTGTGAGGCTGCTGAGATGGCTCAGTGGTCTAAAGCACCCACTTAGAACAAGCTTAGCAAAGCACAGGGACCACGGTTCAATCCCCCAGCACCACATGCCAGCCAGCCCGCCCCCTGGTGGGCTGAGCTGGCC